GCCTCCTGGATCTTTCTACTTTCCTCATCGATATTTGAACATTTCGGGACTGCATTATCATGACTGATATCTCGGGGTAATGGAGGATATTTGTCTTGGGTCAATGCACCCGAAATACCAGCATTCACAGAATAATTTATTAGGCCATACAATAACTGAGAAAATAATTATCACTAATTGTAGACATTGATTTTAACGTTGTATATCCATACCCCACGTAAATCGTTGAGTGGAGTCAGGAAAAATTAATTTAAAATATCCGAAAAAAAATTGTTCATCATTGATGATTTCTTACATGAATTCCAACTTTGACGAGAGTCAAAAATTAATCCATCATATTCTCTCTATGATTATTTTCGTATTTGCCATAAAATTTTTATTTATTTATTTCCAATTGTTTTAGATTTTTGCTGCATTTTAATATTCTCTCTAATCTTGGAAAATTCATTTTCTCATAGGACGCTGTGTTATTTGGAAAATAAACATAGGCCATGCGTAATGAGGTATTAATTTCAAAATGCTTTTAAAGTTTTATCAAAGTCATTTCGGAGTCATCTTAAAGTGATTTTAAAGTGATTTTAAAGTGATTTCGGAATAAATTTTTTGAATTATTAATTTCACGTGATTTCATTCGACTTAACTGGATTTTTCCCTCGATTTCAGGATTGAAAAAGATTTCACATAACTCCACATAATTTCAAATGATTTCAAATTTTTTATTTGAAAATCAATCCCATAAAAATTAAAGTATTTCTCATAACGAAGATTGGAGATTTCCTTAAATCACGTTCCTTTTTTAATTGAAAATTTGATCACCCTACATATGAAATCTGTTAAACGGCGATATATAGAAAAAAGCACTGAACTCATTTGTCTCATTGAAAAACGAAAAAAAATAGAGAGGTCTTTGGTCCCGTGATCTTATTTGGCCCCGGTTCCTCCAAATTTTAAAAACTTCTTCTTTAATTCATTTTTTTTCGGATTCTCGGAGAGAAAGAATTTCTGTCGACATACAATATTTGTACAAATGCGTATTGAGGCGATAGTAAAGGCTTCTGACCGGACCTAAAAAAATCCTGTAGAAATCTCAATTGGGATTTTACAAGGGGGTAAAGTGCTGAAATGGGACATAACCAGAGGTCGAAATATCTCGGAAGCACTTGGGAAGAGGCCTCCCAAAACATATCCAGTTCTGAACGGAAAGAATTAAGTAGAACTCGTTAGGTCCAATTCGACTCAGGGGGCTAATATTGTTTTTCATGTGTCCTTAGGCACTGGATGCTGATAAGTATTTATTTCTAAGTTAGAAATTTCATCGGAGTTCGAAGCTCACAACACGGGGAAGGGGGACCTAAGTCCATATAAAAATCGCCTGAAACGTTATGAGAGTATTCAGTATTGAAGTATTTGCCGAAATATGAGATCCTACGGACTTATCGCTGCTTTCGCAGCCATCCTCATCAGTCATGTAAGTAACAATTTTCATGTTTTATGGAGAAATTTTTACTGAAAGATCGAATCCCCCAATTCTTCATATGAAAAATTACTTCCAAATTTTTAGTTTTTTTTGCTATTTTTTATTTAAAAGTTTTTTTTACGGCCTTTTGAGTCCTCTTTTCCAGTCTCATTTCGGCACATAGTCTCATTTCTAGAACATAGGAGTAGCATGGGAAACCACAGGAAACCCATTCCGGTACAGGCCGTCACTCTAGTAGCAACCTTCCGCTCGTCGGAACCTTCCGCTGAAAAATTCGGTTACACGGGGAATCGAACTCACAACCTTTCGCACACTAGACTTGCGTCTAGTCCACTCGCCCACCGGCTTCGGTGTTTATAAAAGTATAGTCAAAAACGAGAAGAATGCTCTGGAAAAAAATATAATTCTGCCAATCAAATATGTTTTGGACAAGAATTTGCAACGCGATTTTCTATGGAAATCTATTATAAACAACAACAAAAAATTTAAGTCTGTAGATTTTGTCGCAACTGTTCTCAATTTTTTGGAAGCAATATAATTATTTATATACCCATGTGTTTTGACATGGAAAACCCAAAAGGAAAGTTTTTAGAAAAAAAATTCATGTTTTGGACTATTCTTTCCAGTAAAAAATAGAAAAAAAACTTTAAAAATTTGGAAGCAATTTTTCATATGCAGAATTATCGGATTGTTTCATAAATATGGTTTTACGCAATTTGTTCTAAAATATGATATCAATTACAGGCTGGAGCAACTAATGAAAATTCAGCAGAAGCGATGATCGAATTACTTCCAAAGACCGTCAAATCTCTGTTAGATTATAAAACTGTGAAAGTGAATAATGTTACTGACATTATTGCTAAAGATTACAAGGAAAGGAGAAAGAATGCACTCGCCGCTAGTGATTTTTATTTTATACTTGCTCGGGTAAGTTTTATATATATATATATATATGAATAAATTTTTCACGAAATAAACTATTTCTTGAGGAAAGTAATTCTCACTTTGTCGCCAAGTGTTCGTGTTCAAGTCATCAACATTTCACAGGATTTTTCCAGGAGTAGACTCATTATGCGGAATTCTTACCAAGCGTTTTATCCTTAAGAGATAATAAAGATATTTGAGGCAAGAAATTAGTTTTGTGATATTATGTAGATATTTCTCTTAGTGCAACAACCATTCTATTTCTTTGCATGGTAGTCTCATTCTAACCCCTGAGCTGTTGTGCTCCAGTTTTGTACTATTTTAAAGTAGATAAAAATGACTGGATTCAAGTAATCGGAGTTTATCCCTGGCAGAGACAATTTGCAAAATTTAGGTGAATTTTTAATTCATTTTCCGCTGTTAGTTTAAGGAAGCTTTAGACGCAGCACGGGAAAAGGGAAGAAACGCTGAAGGATGCGTTGATATCACCAGATCGGAAGTTAACGATATGCGAGATAAATACCTAATAGAATTACAGTTTTGTCGCATTGAACATAAGGTAGATTACAGAGACGTGGAGACTAAGCTCGACAAGTGGGAGAAGGTGAGTAAATCATCTCAATCCAAAAAAGCAAAATGAAACAAACATTACTTTTCATTACTTGTTTGTAAAGTGAAATTTCACAAAATCTCACTTTCCACACATTGTGATGAAAAATAGGGTTCGACTCTCGAGAGAAAAATGTTCTGGAATCCTGGCACGGGTCAAAAAGCACTATAACGCACTCGTATCAAAATAAACTATTTAGATATTCTCTCTGCCCCTTAGAAAGGGAAGGATCTACAAGCGACGATCAGACTCAATACTAGATGTTACGAAGAGAATTGTCGAGCGGAATGTAACTCTCGGCAGTGTGCCTCGCTCAAAAATGCCGTTGGATCCTGGCAATCAGTAGGAGCAAGACTGAAAGCAAAAGTGCAACGGTTGATAGCGAGGGAGAAGGGAACCCGGCGATGCTTCAACATATCAGAATTTGAATTCAAAAAGAGACAGGATACTCTGAACAGTGTCATAAAAAACTGTATTGCTGAGACCGAAACGATGTAGAGGAGCCCTCTACAGATTCATGCTGAATAGTCAGCATTACTTAATCAGCGAGGGACCCATTTTCGATAAAAAATATTGCTCAAGCTGGATCAGAACCCAGAGTCACCTCGAAATTTTGAACTGAAGAACCGCCAGGAGTTTCAATCAAAGCACGAAATTCATCTAGAAATTGCATATCATATTTTATGTTGTAATTTAATCGAATTGACGAGCAATAAAGATCTTTTATTACCAAAATTGCCTCAGCCGAATAATTCATGTCTACAATAGTTATTAGACTTCAACTCCAAATTCACGACATAAAGTAGTTGAAATGACTAATCAAACGTGAGAAGAATCAAGAGACAAATTCTTCGTTTACTATCGTTCTGGCCACGCTAGAAATTGCTTATCAGGACGCAATTGATTCTAATCAGTCCATCAATTTTTAGCGGCTTTTTTCCAGTGAGACTAATGTGTTCACTGCTTTTCCATGTAACGTCATTTAACAGATTATATACAAGGTGATGTCATCGCCTTGGTTATTAATTGTAAGGAGATATAGAATGAAAAATCACTAATTCCGCACAAGAATTATAGAAATGCGATAATTAATTTTTGAACAGTGAACATTGGAATTTTCGATGATGACGCCAATAACATCATGGTAAGTTCCCGCCATATCGCCATGAATGAAAATGGCAATGTTGTTACAATTATGGCGATATTTGCTGCGATAATTTTAGCGACATTGTGCGCGATAGTTCGAGCAACATTGTGTGCGATAGTTTCAGCAATGTTCATTGCAGTAATCAAACCGATAATTTCATCAACATGAAGAGGGATATTAAGTATGATATCAGGTCCTATTGACTGGCCTCACCGTTTCCAATCATGCCGACAGCCAATCACAACGCGATTGGGTGAAGTGTTGAAAAATTCTGACGTTCACCATTTGACAGTCATTATCGGAATTCAATAATTCTTATACCATTGAATTTCTGATTGTTTATTCTATATTCTCCTGAAATTAAACAAGGTACTGACGTCACCCTATACGTAGGAAAATAAAATTGTCAATCGAAAAAGGCTACCTTATTTATGAAAATCTCTAATGGTCGGTTATAAAAAATACTCGAATTTTTATGGGAACGAGACAATTTCAAACTAATAATTTGAAATTATGTGGAATTATGTGAAATCATTTGAAATTGAGTGAAATCATTGTATGCACAAGTTTATACATAGAAAATTGATTGGTATAGTATCAGCCCGGAGGCTACAACATATATATAACATGAAAGGTGAGGAAGGGGTCAACAATATGAGGGATGAGGATAGGGAGGAGATGCTGGATAGAGAAAATTTTTTATATTAAAAAACCCTATTACAAATGTCACTGATTTTCAGGGGACCATTTCTAATTTTTAAACATCCATCACGAAATTTAAGTGATATACTCCTAAAAAACAGTGACTTCTTCTTGAAAATCAAAACTTTTTCTCTCTGTATTTGAAGAATGACTTCAAATTTTCGAGAATTTTCACCATAAATCCACACTTGAAGCTTAAGGGCTACCGATAAATCAACAATTGCATTTCAGTAATCTACTAATCCCCAGAAAACAATAAATCAATAAATCGCGATGAAGAAATCCATAATGATTTTCAGCATTAACAATTTTGTTCCCTCTATATAAACGAATGACATGCACTGACTCATCATCTAGACAAGTCATTAATAAAAAAACCCCATTTTCAAATACCATTATGACGTGTAGAGAGAGTGACATTGATAATAGCTGATATACTCGATGATATACTGATATGATTGGAACGCCACGCCCTATAAACTCAAACACCTATCCAATATGGACATTTCTTGATGAATATCATTCACCGACGGCACACGGAGAGAAATGTTCAGTAAAAATTACGGAACTCAGAATTCGCTCACTGATTATGGAATCGACTCAGAAAATTTAAGTGAGGGTATCGTAATTTTTCACAGGAGATTCAGATAAAAACTACGGAACGCTCTGGAAAAATTCCGTGACAGTTTCGCAAAATTTCCTACAACCGCATTTCGCTCCGGAATTACGGAAAAGATACGTAATTTTTACTGAGTATTTCTCCCATGGGAATCTCGGCCAATAGGAGGGCCGCATTTGATGTCACGTGGTACAACCTACACGGCTTTATATCAGTAAAAGTTGATAAAACCACGGCACGTTGCTAAGGGAGAATAAACAACATAATTGAAATGCGAAAGGGTAAGTTGTACCACATTGACATCAAATGCTGCCCTCCACTGACCGAAATTCCGATGGAGGAAATACTCTTCCAAATCCCCCTCGAGCTTCAAAATGCATCGGGTATTTCCCTCAACTTTCCCTGCAAACAAACGATCGTGTCAAGTTTTGTAGGAAAACCGTGTCCAGTTTTGTAAAAAATCGATCGTGTCAAGTTTTGTAAAAAAAAATTTAAACCTACAAAACTTGACACTCTCGTTTGTTTGCAACGGAGCTATCGTGAGTTTTTCCAGGTGATTTGTCAGTACTGACCTGTTGAAACTGTTTTCAAACGACTATGGATACGAGCAAACGATTGTGTTATGATATTAGAAGAATTGACCCTCAGATGATTTCGATGCGAATATTTTTATTTTCTTCTACAAAAGTTTTGAAAAATCATTTCATAGAAATTGTCATAATTTCTCCCACAGAAGAAGCAAAAAAATTGGTCATTAGAATAATGATGAGCGTATTTACTATTAACTAGTCAATCTAATCAACTATCCATCTGAAGTGTCAAATATTATTTTTCGTGTGTATTTAGGCTTTGGATAGTGATAAGTCGACTTTTAAATGAAAAATATCGCCAGTCTTCGGAGCTCACACTACATGGAGGGGGGTCCCGTCCATATAAAATCAGGCTAACCATTATGAGTTTTCAGTATTGAAGTATTTCTCTAAATATGAGATCCTGCGGGCTTATGGCTGCCTTTGCAGCTATCCTCATCAGTCATGTAAGTTTCAATTTTCGTGTTTTATGCAGACATCTTTACTAAAACAGCGAATCCGCAAATTCTTTGTGTGAAAAATTGCCTCCAAATTCACAACTTTTTTTAAAAATATTTTTTGTCGAAACGTATAGTCGCTAACTCACTTATTGGCGGAGACATTGCAAATTTAACTCTTTTTCTTCTAATTTTTATTTCAATTCCAATTCCGATTTACTATAAACAATGAAAATTTTGAATCCACAGATTTAAAAAAATCCATAGCTTTGAATCCGTAGATTTGTCGGAAATGTGCTCGACATCTTGGAAAAAATATAATTATTTATGTGTCTGTGTGTTTTGACATGGGAAATTCAAAAAGAAAGTTTCAAACGGTCATTTGGGGTCGTTCCCCACTCCTTTTTATGGCATTAGGCCCGATAAACCGCGATTCTAACCTCGCTTCGCTCGGGCGTCTAACCACCAGTTGCTTCCCTTGAGGTTTTTGGGCCGTGTGACATGCAATATAAAATATTGCATACCACTCGGCGATAAAAGTATTATCTGATTCATGCGATTATACTTTTATCTCCTCATGATATAATATACCGTTTTATCAACGTAAAGTTCCGAAAATTTCCTAACCAACACTTATTCCTTTAGTTTGGTGCACTAAAGAATTCAGAAGTGAAATGGAGCAAAAAAAAAATTTAGTCCTCCCAAAAAATAGGATTTTTGAAAACACATTGGAATCTAAAGGAGAAATTTTCGAGATTTTTTTTATAGGGCAGAATGAATTTTACCATCTACTGTAGATTCAAAGATATTCATCAAAAAATTAGTTCAACATTTACTTATGTAAAGGATGAACAATGTATTCTAGTAATATCAATATGTAATATGTATTATGACATGTAATGTTCAAATATTTTGTAAAACTTGAGGTAACCAATATGGCTCTACTATCAACATTTATAGATCTTAAGGGGTTGGGGAACAAAAAATGTAAACACCCGAGAGGGTATACAAAAGACGACTAAACTAAACTAGTTCAACATTTAATTGTCAATTACAATATAGAATTGTTTTTTTTTAGAATTATATTAGAATTGTAGTTTTTGGACAATATATCAGTATTGAAGTAGAATAAAGTACCGATCCCCCATATTGTCGATATCTGATTTTTTTTTCACTCAAAATATTCCGTTGGAGCTCTGTATAAAGTTATTTTTCATCACGCTGTGACGAAAAGTGAACTTTTCGGCACGCTCCGCGTGCCTAAAAGTCCAATTTCCGCCACATTGTGATGAAAAATATTGTTCGTAACTCGTGAAAAAATGTTTTTTAGCTCGTTACGAAATATACTATTTTAATTGCATTTTTCACAGAATCGGTAGGGCAGGAAATGACCTATGCAAGGTTACCCTATATATTCAACACGACCAATCATTGGCCCAATATCCGCTCGCCGATAGCGATGCCGCAAGACAAGACAAGACAAGAACTACGTATTCCTTGTCTTGTCTTGTTATTTTAGGGTTTTTCTCTTGTCTTGTCTTGTTCCAATTGGCAAGAGAAATGTTGAGTCTTGTCTCGCTGGATATGAGCAAAAGGAAAAAAATGTTTGTCTTGTCTTGCATTCTCGTGTGTGCGCCAACAATTTTATTTTTCCATTGCGTGAGATTAATAAATTGAGTTTTCTTCGTTTGACACGCATGTCACGATTACTTGATAATTTATGCATCCAGTCTTCCTTCAGAAAGTTTATTTACAAACGCTGGTCTCATCACCAGAAGACGCCTGAGTCGATTAACAAAAATGTTGAGTACTTGTTGTGCATGAATTCACGGTTCTCAACTCCACTGGCTCCAATCATGAAAAAAGCGCTATTCGAGAAGAAAGATCAATATAATCGAGGAAAACATAATTCTTCACAATATCCGTGGATAGATAAAGCATTATTTAACAAAGTGGCCTTATATTATTGATGAATAAAGAGTTTTTCACGAATTTTGTGATTCATTATTTTTTCTCTTCGTCCACATCTCTTGTCTCTTGCCTATTGTAAACATCCCTCTTGTCTTGTCCTTCTTACCAAGAGAAAAATCTGTCTCTTGTCTTGCCTTGTTTCTCTTGCGCTCTTACGGCATCCCTTCACCGCTGAGCTTTGGCAAGTCTATCATTGGCTGAGGATTGCTCTGCAATCGCAACCGACTTGATACTCCTAGTCTATTTTTTTAATTAAATATCAACTTATCATAGTTTTTTTATTAACTTCAAAAATTGAGAAACATGCCGACAGCTGTCAGCTCGGTCCCTCAGACTACAATTAGTTATAATATGTTCACAATTATTATTATCCTCATTGATTACGATCAAATCAACTGATTCTTAACCCATCAATTCATCAGAGTTTCATTAATTGCTGATAATTGCAATGATAAATACAGAAAAGGCTGAGTAAACACAGACTACAATACGCAAGTAAAACCAATATAATCCGTAAAACTAGATGAGAATCTTCGAACAAAATGAATGGCGAAAGCCAGCAAATCAGTGATAATAGTTCCGTAATAGCGAAAACCATTGAAATGGCTGGCATAAATGAAGAGGAGCCAATTCTAAGCGTACAAGAACATTTCGGCCAGAGTAGAGCACATCCTGGAGCACCAAATATCTGCAAGAGCTAATCCAAAAGGAAAAATAAGAAGAGAAAAAGAACTGAGCGATACTCAAGAAAAATTGATCCAAATACTTCACCACAGCAGTTTTAAACCTACCTCAGATACCTTAGAAGACGTAGGTCACAGGGAAGCCAAGCGTAAAAACCATTCTTCGAGAAAAACAGTTTTTTGAGAAATACATTTTTACTTATATTAAGATCCTCGTGGCTTCAAAATTTTCTGAAGACGAGGACAATTTCTTGATGATATGAAAGCGATTTCTCAAACCGAGTAAAATTAAATTAATTCATGTAATAATTTTTTCGCCTCAATTCTAAAATATTTTAATGCAAAAACCACTTGAATTGAGTTGAGAACTCGTTTTTTTATATGAACTAATTGCCCTCATCTCTCGAAAAAGTATAGAATTTCTTGGCGTAAGATTTTTTTTTTTATGTGAGATATTGTGCGCTTGGTAATTTTCAAACCGTGAATTTTTTGATACAAGACGACGTACTTCTCAAAGAAGTCTGGTCTTCTCAGTGTAGTTCCTCACCAACACCAATGGCGCCATTCAAGTCATCCATTCAAACATCCAACTTGGCGTGCCATGCAAGCTCCTAAAAAATTGCATCAAGTGCATTGACTTGGAATTGACTTGGAATTTTAATTAACTCGTTTTTATCATTCCATTTTCATAATTTCCATTTTGGCTTTGCACTTCCTTTTCGTGATTTCACCATTTTTTTATGAACAAAACGCTCGGACCTGTTCTTGGCGAGTTCTTTTTTGCAAAAATTGATTTTTGTTTTTAGGAAGATATTTAGTACTCCCAAGTAGTTGTTCAAAGTGATGCTCGGCTGTCTTGTCTCACCCTGGATGGGTATAAAACTATTCGGAGAGCTGTGGAACTAATGGGACTAGAGAACAATACCTAAAACCATTGACACATGAAAAACAAATTTTTTTTATGGGGGGACTACTGTGAGTTTTAAAAGTCGTGGGTTATTGAAGTGAGACTTTCCATACGTTGAAGATCGATTATATAGATCTGAAAACGAGTAATTAGAGCAAAAAAATTTTTTTTATTGTTCGTTTGCTCGAAAACGCTTAAAATGCTAAAAACAGTCCAGGGCCTCCAATTTTTGAGCTACAAAAGATTTTTTTTTTTTAATTATCGGAAACATGTGTGGAACAACAATTACGAACAATGTGTGGAATAACAAGCGTTTTCGGGCAAACGAACAATAAAAAAAAATTTTTGCACTAATTATTCGTTTTCAGATCTATATAATCCAATAACCCACGACTTTTAAAACTCACAGGAGTCTCCCCTTAAGAGGTTGAGAAAATATCTGAACAAATCTATGGGTTCAAAATTTATTTAGTCGTTTATAGTAGTTCGTAAGCAGAATAAAAAAAAAGTTTTGAAAAGAAAAAAATATAATGCAACCGGACGCCGGTTATTGCGTTCATTATTCTTGTTTTGGTCTAAATTTTTCGATGACAAGTAGAAAAAAGTTTTAAAAATTAGGAGGTAATTTTTCATATCCAGAACTGGCGGATTCCTTCGTAAATATACGCTTATGCAATTTGTTCTAATAGGTGATATTAATTTCAGGCTGGAGCAACTGATAATAAATCACCACGATCGACGGTCAGTTTCATTGACAAGTTCATTAACGGAATTTTAAGTAATAGAACTGCTTGTAAGGCAAATTATTTGGACGCTGTTCATATAGATTACGTAATAAAGATGAGCCAGGCATTAGCCTTTAGTTCTGTGAATTTCAAAAACCCTGTAGTAAGTTTTCGTGGATGCATAAATTTCTCATTTCTCCGGATTTAAGTAACTGGAGTTTATCCATTTCATTACAGACAATTTGTAAAATTTGGGTGAATTTTTAATCAATTTTCCATCGTAAGTTTAAGGACGCTTTAGAAGCAGCTCGAAAAGAGGGAAAAAACGTTGAGAAATGCGCTAATGCAAGTAAAAGTATTGAGGAAATAGAGAATACATACCTACTACAATTAGATTTTTGTCGAATTGAACATAGGCCAGACTACAAAAGCGTGGACACTAGTATTGACAAATGGCAAAAGGTGAGTAAATCATCTCAATACAAAAGAGATCGCCAACAAGAAGTAAACATTATTTTTCCATATTCTCTCTGCTCACAGGAAGGAAGGGATCTCCAAGAGGAGATTAAACTCAATTCTGAGTGTTTCAGAGAGCATTGTGGAGAGCAATGTAAGACCCCGCAGTGTGACTCGCTTAAACGTATCTTTCGATCCTGGAAAAAAAAAGGACTAATGCTGCGAAGGGAAGTGCGACGGTTCAATAAAATGAAAACCAGAACGTTGCAATGCTTCGCCAAAGCACGCCTTCATTTCCGAAAAGCACACAAAAAACGGAACAACCGCGCATTCAAGTGTATCGCTAACTCCGTTTGAGGTAGACGAATCCTCTACGGATTCAAACTGAAGAGCCAGCGATTACGGAAACAGCAACCGAAGCATTTTCTAGATCAGAACTCAGAGTCGCCTCTAAATTTGGGGCTGAAAAACCACCAAAAGCTTTTTCGGAAACAAGAAATAAAGCTAGAAATTGTAGATAATATTTTATGTTGTAATTCAATGGAATTGGAGGGAAATAAAGTTCATTTATTACCAAAATTGCCTTAGCCAAATAATTCATGTCTATAATATTTATTAGACTACACCTCCAGATTCACGTCATACAGGCACCTGAAATGACTAATCAAACATGAGAAGAATCAAGAGGCAAATTCGTCGTTCACTATCGTTCTGGATACGCTAGGCATCGATTATCAGGACGCAATTGATTCTAATCAATTCATCAATTTTTAACGGCTTTTTTCCAGTGAGACTAATGTGTTCACTGCTTTGTTCCATGTAACGTCATTTAACAGATTACATACTGAGTGATGTTATCACCTTGGTTACTAATTGTAAGGAGATATAGAATGACAAATCACTAATTCCATGGCTCAAGAATTATAGAAATGCGATAATCAATTTTTGAATAGTGAACATTGGAATTTTCAGTGATTTATCCAATAACATCATGGTAAATTCCCGCCATACCGCCATGATTGAAAATGGCAATGTTGTTACAATTATGGCGACATTTGCTGCGATGATTTTAGCGACATTATGCGCGATAGTTCGAGCAACATTGTGTGCGATAGTTTCAGCAATGTTCATTGCAGTAATCAAACCGATAATTTCATCAACATGAGCGATATTAAGTATGATATCAGGTCCTACTGACTGGCGTCAGCGTTTCCAATCATGCCGACAGTCAACCACAAAGTGATTGGGTGAAATATTGAAAAATTTCATATTGTAATTCAACCGAATTGAAGGGAAATAAAGTTCATTTATTACCAAAATTGCCTTTACAATATTTATTAGACTCCAACTCCAGCTTCACGTTATACAGGCACTTGAAATGAATAATCAATCGTGAGGAAAATCAAGAGACAAATTTGTCATTCTCTATCGTTCTGGGCACGCTAGCTAGCGTACCCAGGTAGCGTACCTAGGTATTGCTTATCAGGACGCAATTGATTCTAATCAATCCATCAATTATTAGTGGTTGTTTTTCAATGAGACAAATGCCTTCAGTGTCTTTCCATGTAACGTCATTCAACAGATTATATATGTGAGAACATAAAATTTCCAATCGAAACTGGAAATCATTTGAAATCATGTAGAATCGGGGAAATCAATTAGAAATCGGGGAAAGAATGCAGTGAAGTCAAATGAAATCACTTAAAATTAGTTATTCCGAAAAATACATTTGGAATCACTTTAAAATCTATTTAAAATCACTTTGAAATTCACCTTAAAATGATTTTGAAATCAAGCGAAACCAGTAATTATTGCGGCACGATATTCGAAGGTGAATAACCCCTCATTACGCATGATCTCTGAACTTTATGTACGTCGTGGGGAGAATAAAGCCTTTACACCCGCTAAACCGCCCCGAAAAGTGAACTTTTCAGGTAGGTATTACAGAAAAATGTGAGTCTGCTAAGATTTTATGTGCAAATATTACACTGAGAAATAAATCACGCGAAAATTGATGTAAAATCTAGGGAATCGGAGAGCAAAATTATTTCAAGAGTTTCTATTCGGAATCAAGAAAAAAATGCGAGACAAACGGTATACTTTCACCTTTGTGATATAATTTTCGTAAGCGAACGATTTAGTATCATTATCACTCATTTGCAGTCACAACATCATTCATTTTCAGGAAAATGTCACTGCCTTTCAGGGAATTATTTATATTTCTTAGAACTCTATCACCAAATTTCACTGATAGAAATCGTTAATGATTATTGTTATCCTAAAAATCAGTGACATGTTCCTACTTTGCAAACTTTTTTCTCTCTGTAGTTGAAAAATCACTTCAATATTTCGTGATTTTCCGCCATAAATCGATACTTAAACCTTAAACAATGATGATTAGCTAACGACTAAATGTCAATGAACTCCTAATCCCCACAAAAGAATAAATCTATAAATCACGATTAAGAAATTCATAATCATATCTACCATTTGTAATGTTATTCTCATCAAATAAACGAAAGGCGTGCATTGAACCATCGTTTGAAAGCCCAATGTTAAATATCAGTACCACGTGGACAGACAATGACACTGATGATAGCCAATATGTTGACACAAAATTATAGGCGGAAAATTGTTGATTGGGAAGACACGCTTCTTCAATTCAAACACCTGCCTAATATTGACATTTCTTGATGAATATCATTCACATGAGCAGTTTCACAAGTACTTGACCTTTCCGCGACACTTGTCCGTATTAAACTGTTAAAACTGTTTTTATATGACTATGTGTTCAATTAAGCGAATGATTCTATTATGTGTGTACGATAAAGATTTCAAAATCATTGTCAGAATTTGTTCCTCAGCAGAAGCAAAAAAAATTGTAATTGGAAGAAAAATGCATGAATTATCAATTAACTGATTAACCTAATCAATTATTCATTTGAAGTGTTCTATATTGTTTTTCGTATATTTAGGGTTTGGATAATGATAAGTCTTTACTTCTAAATGAAAAATGTCGTCAGAGTTCAATGCTCACAGTACAGGGAAGGGAGACCTATGTCTATATAAAAATTACGCGAACCGTGTGAGCCTTCAGTAGTGAAGTATTTGTCGAAATATGCGATCCTGCGGACTTATCGCTGCGTTCGCAGCCATCCTCATCAGTCATGTAAGTAGCAATTTTCGTGTTTTATGGAGAAATTTTTACTGAAAGGGCTAATCCGCCGATTCTTTGTACGAATAATTGCCTCCAAATTTTTGACGTTTCTTTTCTATTCTTTATCGGAAAGTGTAGTCCAGAACAACAAGAATGAGTACAACCGGAGCTCTCTAACTCAATTCTTGGCAAAAATATTCAGCATTTAATTCTTTTTCTTTTAAACATTTTTGTTTGTTTTTTGACATGAAAAGCTCAAAAGGAAAGTCGCAAATGGTTATTTGGGGTAGTTCCCCACTCTTTTTTCGTAAAGTTCTGAAAATTTCCTAACCGACTCTTACTCTTAACTTTGGCGTTCTGAAGAATTCAGAGGTGAAATAGAGACTCAAACAAATTTCAATCTTCTCAAAAAATAGGTTTTACCAATATATATCGGAAGCTAAAGGAGATAGGGAAGTTTGTGAGGCATTTTTTGTGGAGCAGAATAAGATCTACAAAAAAACTTCTATGAAAATTGTTCCATCTACTGTTGATTCAAAGATATACATAAAAAAAATAACTCCACATTCAATTGCCAATTACAATTTAGATTTTTTTACAACGAAAAAAATCGAATAGAATGGAGAGTGATCACAACTGACCATTTGAAACATTCTTACAGGCCCATAAACCACTGTATATTTTTTCAAAAGGTTGAGAAAATTTCAAAAATAATTCGAAACCAAACTTAAAAATTTTGGAAGGTATTTTTAATATACAGAATCAGCGCATTCATTCGTAAATATGGCTTTATGCAATTTGTTCTAATAGGTGATATCAATTTCAGGCTGGCGCAAGTGATGGAAATTCATCAGAATCGATGATCACATTCATTAACAAGACCGTGACAGCTCTGTTAGATTTCAGAACTGCTTGTGCGAATAATGTTTCTGACATGATTGTGAAAGATTTCGTAACCAGGAAAACAAAAGCATTCACCGTCACTTCTTCTAGTCTTCTACATCCTGTAGTAGGTTTTGTAAATTAATAAAGTTCTCAATTTTCTTCATCATGAAATTACGGCATTCAAGTAATTTGAGTTTATACATTCCTTGCGAAACAATTTGTAAAGTTTAGGTGAATTTTTAATTAATTTTCCATCGTAAGTTCGAGGACGCTCTTGAGGCAGCTCGAAAGGAGGGAAGAAGCGTTGACAAATGCGTTAACGAAAGTAAACCAGGAGTTGATGATAGGCGGATTGAACACCTAGTTGAATTACGTTTTTGTTTCGTTGAACACATGCCAAATTACGCAGACGTGGAGAATAGGATCGTCGAATGGCAGAAGGTGAGTGGATCATCTCAATAAAAAAAAGGTCACCAAAATGAAGCAAACATTACTTTTCGATATTCTCTGTGCCCACAGGAAGGAAAGGATCTCGAAGTGAAGATCGATCTCAATCCTCAATGTTATGGAAAGAGTTGTGGAGAGCAATGTAACAGCTCGGAGTGCGCCTCGCTGAAAAAGGCCACTCAATCCTGGCAATCAAAAGGTCGAAGACTCCGAAAATACGTGCGACAGTTGAACCGCGAGAGGAAGATCAGAACATCGCGATGCTTCGTCGCATCAGACCTTGAATTCAAAAAAGCACACTACATTTGGAACAAAATCGCAATGGAGTGTATCGCTCAATCCATTTGAGGTAAAGCAATCCTCTACAGAGTCGGACTGAAGAGCCAGCTATTAGTGAATGAGCAAGCGAACCATTTTCGATAGAAAATATGGATCAGAACCGAGAGTCGTCTTTAAATTTGGAACTGAAGAACCGCCAGGAGCTTCATCTAAAGCAAGATTAGTTTAATTAATCTAGAAATTGGCGATGATATTTGTTGTAATTTAATCGAATTAAAGTGAAATAAAGATCATTCTTTCCAAAATTGCCTTAGCCGAATCATTCACGTCTACAATATTTATTAAACTTCAACTCCAGATTCACGCCATACAAGCAGTTAACATGACTGATAACACGAGAAGAATCAGAAGACAAATTCTTCATTCACTATCGTCCTGGACACAATTGATTCTAATCAGATCATCAATTATTAAGGTCTGTAACAGGAAATCCAACGAAATATTTACGGACAAATGGCTATAAATAAACCAGGAATCGCCAAATTTGTAATATTTTATTACGGTTAAATATTGTAGCCATCAATTAGATAACATCACTCTTGAAATTTTGTGAGTACTTCAGTATCATCAATTCAAATATTCAAATTTTCAACTATTTTATCAATCAATAATTGAGGTAGGAAGATTGATGATTATTTGTGTAATCGAAAATCTCCTTTCAAGAAATTTGAATTATTCATTTAGTAGTAAATTTACAATTTCATGTTAACAAATTTT